CGATAACCAAATTACCTTGAATACTTTCTTGTTTCAAGTCGACATACTTTTTTTTTTTGGTCAACCAAGTTGACATATTTAATTGTTTTTTAAGAAAGTAATTAGATGTTTTTGTTACCCTACCAATCAAAAATCAAATTTATTTGTACATCCACATCTCTACAGACTCTTATATGGCGAAAACATTTACATTCAAAAATTTGTTGGATAAAACGTAGGAAAACCATAAACATTAAAAAAAAAACTTTTTCTTTCAAAAAGTAGAATTTAAATATTAATTAAAACAATTAAACTAACTATAAAAAAGACTGCAAAAGATTATTGGTCACACAGTTTTCAATAAAACTAAAAAATATCTTAAAGTATCAAAACATCTTATATTATGAAACGGAGGGAGTATTAAACATTGATCATCCGGTTAAAACGACTTTACGAAACACATTGCAGGACCGAACACATGTGCTTAATGCTTCCTCATCATTGTATGTATAGAAAAATAAGTTTCCGAGGTTGGAATCAACTAAAACAGTGTTAGTAGACAAACCATCATTAACTTGATAGCTTTGGTTCCTTTCTCACGGGATTATAAACGTAAAGATCGGCTTTGGATTTGGTGGTGTTTCCACACCACAACCACTCTTCAAGAAGTGAAAATATAGGAACAACAGATTAGCAAAAAAAAAAAAAAATATAGGAACAATGTGCTGAACATAATTAGCCAAATTCGAATCACTAGATTTAAATTATTTTTAGAGAAGTGATATCAACTCTAATTTTATTGTAAAATTCCCATGGTGTAAAATGATGGAAACCAAAATAAATTCATTTCTACTGTAAAATTAGTGATTCTTGTTTTCTAATTTTTTTTTCTTTTTTGTTGTCTGAAAAACTAAAATACAGTCATTTACATTTTAAGTTTAACGTTATCTGTCATTAGTCCACTTAATTTTTTTTTTACTTCTATGGGTTTATTTGTACAAATTAATTTCTCTGGGTTTATTTTATACCTTGGATTTTATTTCTCAGTTTTTTGGTGAAATGCAATAACAAAGGGCCAAAAGTGTAAACAAAAAAAGGGCCAAAAGTGTAAGAAAACAAGGAGGTGATGTGCACGTAATTGAAAATTCTAAAA